TAGCAATACAAACAATCGGTATGCGACCAACTTGTATAAATAAATAAAAATAAAGTGCCAACAACGAAATGCGCTTCGAATGGTCATTAAAATTGCGCGTCCAGGGCCTAAAAGCATGCACTGCTAATTGCCACATAAATAACCAGTCGAATCAGTCGCCAGTGCCAGCAAAAATCTGAGGGTTGTCATCTGCCCGCTCCACAAATCGCACAAGTCCAAGTCGCAAAACAAACGAAGTATAATTTTTCGAGCATAGATTTTGATCGATAATTATCGAGGCGCACACTTATATCTAAAAACATTATTTTTTTGTGTTAGGTTAAGTCATTACAAGCTTTGAACGTATTATATGTTTAATATTTCATACTTCAACAGTTATTCAACCGATGAAAATGTCCTCTTGAAGCTGTCTACTCAAGTTACAATCGATAAGCGATGCATTTATCGAAAAACATCAATATAATGCTTGACAAATCGCAGTGCATGGCATCATGTAATATGTTTATAAAAATGAAATGCTCTCTTAGATGTGAGCCTTCTGTATTTCACTTAGCTTTACCAATAATAATGATAATAAGAAATTATAAGGAACCACACTTCTGAAGCTGAGCACAACTGTACCTTAGGCAGCTTCTGATAGGGCCGACAAGTGCAAGGCTCAGGGAATGAATCAAGGAGTAGCACACGAGCACAATATACGATAAGGTCTATATGTAGCTGTTGTTGTGTTTGGTTCCGTGTGTGCTGGCCAGAGCATCGCATTAAGTTCAATTTCAGCTACTAGATCAGAATTTATGACATTGACGAAACGATAAAAATGTCGGCAGTGGCCGGCACACACATAAATGTGCATTACGGAAGTGGCAGGGCGGCTGAGAGAAGACAGAGACGTGGCCGGAACTGGAACTGGCATGGTTTGGGGTGTGAGTGGGTGGCAATATAACTGACCAGGCAGCATGAAAATGAAATGCGACGCTCAAACTCACGTCAGCGAAAGCGAAAGCGAAAGCCTAAAACTATTAATTTCATCGTAGTAGAAAAGACTGAGACTGGGATGGAAAGCTGGAAAAGCTGGGTAGCTGTCCGTCCGCCCTTTGGCCAGGGAGAAATCTATATTTACGATTATTGAAGTTTATGACGAAACGTTTTCGTATCATTTTGCGTCGCCTCATAAATGTTAAACGAGAGACTGACAGCGGTCTCACGGCTGGACCAACTACAGCCACATAGGGTTGAGAATTTCATAAATGCTTCTGCACGCAAGCTGCTAATAATGCCAGACAGGCAGACGGGCAGACGGACAGATGGACGGACGGAGAGACTGACAGAATGACAGACTGAGAGACAAACTGGCCTGGACAGATACATCGTGTATGCGAGTGTACGAAGTGTACATGGGATATGTCTCGTAGCACAGGTGCCAGACCAAGTTTCGGTTACGGATTTGGGTTCGGTTTCGGTTTCGGTGTCTTTGGTATCTTTTGGGGGTTGTATGGCCGCAAAAGTGCAATACGCTCGTAAAACCAATGGCCAAATAGCCAAACGAGAAATGTCTAAGTAAAAATGTTGTGTAATTACGTTGCGTTACGCACAGATAGAGATACAGATGGTAATGAAAATAGAGTGGGGAAAATGGCCAAAGGCGTTGGGGGCGACATCGGTTGGAGTCGGAGTTTATGATACACGGCAACCCCAGCAGGCACAAGAATCGTACACACTCCAACTACGAATTGACCATTGTCAGATTAGAAAAATCATAATTAGGCTTCGGCTTGCCCACATGCCCCCATTTCGGTGTGTGTGTGTGTGTGTGTCCTTTTTATTGTTTTAATGAACACCCGAGTGCAATTTTTTGACCCCGTCCCCAGTCTGGTAAGAAGGTTGGCTGTTTCTACAACTGTTATGGTTTGTATTCGTTGTAAACACTATGCGTTGGGAATCAGACTAGCAAAAGATCGAATATCGATTCAGACTTGCCCAGAATCAAATCAAATCGGACTACAATATGAAGGTTGCAAAATGATGTTTCAAGTAAACGGCAAATACTTGCCCCAGGCAAAGCCGGATAATACCCACTATTCACAGACAAATAAATAGAACTAATCAGTGGAAAGTGAAAAAGCGCGAGGAGTCGCAAAATTGATGACTATTTTTTAGTTCGCATTGACACTTCAAGCAATTTATACAAAATTGAATAAATAAATAAGTATAATAAATAATAAACTAAATGTTTGTAAATATTGTATTCTTCTCTGTGCATGGCCCCTCGGGAGGGTGTGCCGATTATAATGACAGTGACACCTATGCCGCGACTGAAATTGGAGGAACTACCAAACGTGACTGTCAAGTGTAAATTTGAAAAATTGGACAGGCTCCGTGCTAATCGCACTACTACAGAGGAAAAGTATGTGCAATTTTCGCGTTCCATTATATATTTCCTATAAGCTGACGGACTTTTGTATAGTGTAGCTTAGATTTTGTATATAGTATATAGTTTAGATGTACATACGATATACGAAAAACATTGTCGCTAAGATACCCCTGGCCAATCGTTAATTGTTGACAGGGTATAAAGGTGATGGCTTGCTCAGCATCATGCCACGCCCAGCTCCTGCTCATGGACACGGAGGCACACAGACAAGAGTAACAAGCCGAGATAACATTTAAGCGAAATCGCTTTAAAATCAATTAACCGTAAAATCACTCGGCTATTTGCAACAACAATCGAGTCGCGAGTCCTGCAGGACCTTTGTTGCCCGTGGACATCGATGCGACGGCGGCCAAACAATCAAATGTGATGACAATAACATTAGCTGCCCCACCCAAATGCTGCATGCGTGTGGATGTGTGCCCGTGTATGTGTGTGTGTGCAGCATGCAGACGGGCAAACAATCTACCAGAGCAAACACAGCCCCCATTTGCCATGGATCCCCAGCCAGGCCCTGGACTGCTGCACTTGACCGCCCTGCCGCGTGGGCTGTGTTGACGAGGACGTGCTGCCAGGTATTAACCTCCATTTAATGTTAAACAAAGCCGCGTTACATGTGCATGGGGCGAGAGCAAAAAAAGAATAATAAAAACACAAAATAGAACAAGCAGATATGCCACGCCCACTCTTAACATGGGCAGCCGCCAAACATTTCGATTAACATACGCAAACACACACAGGCAGAGAGCCGGCCAGCTGGGCGGCGGGAGCGCGGGATGCACTGAAGTAGATGGGTGTGGCAGCTGGATAAAAAAAAAACACATAACGTGCATGGCCAGCAAATTGAATTGCTGGCATACAAGGCCGAGACCAGCAGGAAGGAAGCTCCGAACAGAAAAAATGGACACACCAGAATCGCAGTCGAAGTAGCAATTGGAGTTGGGCTCGGCGCCGGAGTCAGAGTCGGAGTGGGCTCATCATGGTGCCGGAGAATCAGCTTCATCGTCATCAAAATCGTTTTAAACAAAACGGACTAATTAAGCGCACGTTGGTCGTTTGACCTGCTTGGATATTACCCAGACTTGGCGGCCGCACCGGACACCAGCTCCGCTCCACACTGCGAGTTAAGTTTTTGGTAGCAAAGTGACCTGTTGGCAAAGCTCGTTAAATGCTGCGAATTGCTGCTGTTTGCAACAAACTTAATCAGTCTGCGTTTCACTAAATATTTAACATGTAGATCAATTCCAGTTGTTACCCTGGATTCATTGAAAATGGTTAAATCGGGTATTTGAGCAAATGTATGTAACAGGCCGAAGAGGAAGCATCTCCGACCCCATAAGGTATACAAATTCTCGATCAGCATCAATAGCGAAGTCAATCTAGCCAAGTCCGTCTGTCTGTCCATCTGCCCGTCTGAGTCAGCAAACTTGGCATGTTGCTTCTAGAAAAGTATATACAGGTGATGTATCTTTAATTTTATCGCCAACCCCATACATCCACCCATAGTTATAAATCAAATATTTATATGATTTACTTTTCATTTATTTATTGTTCATAAAATGTATTCTATTTATAAACATATTTTAATGTAACCTAAATAAAAGTAATTATTCTAGCTTCAAACCGATTTGATAGCAGACCTTCGAAATCTGCTAAGGTTTTTATAAGGATTAAGCTGTATTAAATACAAGCGATTTATATAAATGTAATGCTCGTGTATGTGTGTGCCTTTATATAAATATACATATGTATTTCTATTAAGCTGTTCTTGTTGCAACCTGGGCCAGACTTTATGAATAGGTAGAAGAGGAAGCATGCAGAGAAGCAAACAAACAAAAAATATCTTTTTGAGTAGTCAGTCACAATGGTCGGGTAGTTAAGGCGCTTTGATGTATATGTGTCAGTTGCTCACACCACACACGCACACACACATACACACACACACACACACACTCGCACACAGGCAGACACATTTTTGGTGTATCGTCGCGTAAATCCGTCTTTGAATAATGATGCCGTTGATAGCTGGGATTATAATCCAGGCGCAAGCAATAGTCTCCCTCTCCCTCTCTCTCGCTCTCTCTCTCTCTCTCTCTCTGTGTGTGTGTGTTGCCAGCCTGGCCATTTATTTATTATGCCACAATATTCAATGACCCTTAATGGCATTTCGTAATAAAAATATTGGATTAGTTTGTTAGTTTTGGTCGCGCCGGCATATCAACCACCGCGTCGAGGGGCCCATCGTAGTGCTCAGCCACCCACTGGACACTTTATCAACTGGCCAGGCATTACGTATTCCATTAAACGCCTAATGAGCCCATTGTGCGGCGTCTGGGGTCATCAGGGGCCGTCTGGTTGGCGGTGTGGGCGTGACAGGCGCCCAGGTACTTAGACTTAGTTAGTGATCAAAGGCAACAATGCGTGCATATGCCACGCCTACATCAGCACTGTCTACACAATCAATTCATATTTGTTATTTTTTTTTTTGAATATAATAACTGTGTTTCAAGTTTTGGATCATAGCCTATTACAGTTGTATAGCTGGACTTAGACTAAGTTGGCTATACGGAGGGAACATTCTTGTACAATTGTTGAAAACATTTCGAAATTTTCAAAAGTTTTTCAAGTACTTTTAAAAAATTCTCAAAGTTCTTTTTTGGTTTCTATTCTTATGAAACAAATAGTCAATAGCCGTGTGTTGCTTAAAATCTGAGAAAAGGGGGATAAAAAGTTTATTGAAAATATTTTGATTTGAGTTTAAAGGAGGATTCCCTGAAATTGTTTCAGGAACGTGGTAAAAGGCTAAAGATTGTAATGCGCTTAGCCTTGGCTACTTTCATATGCATGTAGCATATTAAAATAGCCAGAGTCAGTTGCCCCGGCACGTAATCGGCATCGGAATCGGAGTTTGGAGCTGGAGTCGGGACCCAGGATCCGGTAGCGAGTAGCTCAGGACCCTTAACTCAAAATGTTGGACTGCATGCATGTGACATAATAAATATTAATGACAACTGACCGACAGCATTGCCATAGATCCCTGCCCAGTGGGTGGGCCGATGGACGATTGTGGGCCGTGCTGGGGAGGAAGAAGGCGGTTGTGGCTGAGGTATGGGCCATACTGGCCGGGTTGACGTTGACACACATTCGACATGTGACAGATAAATTATGGCAATTGGATGAATGCCGCCACACCTCTTCAAACATGCCCCTGGCCAACATCATGCAATTTTGCTTTAGCTATGAGATCATTTTTCATTTTCATTTCCTTTTCTTTTTTCCTCTCTTTGTTTGTTTGTTTTCTTGGTGCGGGTTCATGGTGCGGAGGTTGTGACATATGTGCGTTCACGACTAATGGCAGTCAAGTTTACCATAACCAAAGGACTTTAACACACAAGCACACACAGGCACACTGTCAAGCATTAGGGCTATCCTTAATAGTTTTCAGTTCGCCAATGATACGGTTAGCGTACTAATGACTGGATGCCACCAGGCTCAAATAAATTACAATAATCATTTATTGTTCAATAAGCCCAAAAAGAAGGCATGCAGAAGTGGCTGAGTACATGCACGTATACAATTGTGTAACAAAAATAATGATAAAGTCCCTGGAGCTAAGTGATCAGTTTAAGACATTCATCAAATGAAATAACTTGCGATGACACGAGTTTAACATAATGATTAATTTATACATCCATTTCGGCAAATGAGACTAAATATGTTTTCTAATTCTTCTAAAAGCTTTAAAAGCACATGAGAGCTTGAAGCAGGTTGTGCTTACTTCTTCAGGCACTACTATGAGGCATTATGTAAAACTAGGCTATATTTAAAAATTTTTTAACTTGAACTCATTCGATTTTCAAGGAGCTTAAGAGTATAAGCGCTTAAAGCAGTTTGCAAACACTTGAGTGGGGGATTTTAACAAACTATCCTCCCCATAAAAATTGTATTTGCCAATCTTTCGCTTTTCAAACAGCTTGAAAGCACTTGAAATCAGGCTGCACTGTGGAATTTATTAAAGTGTTGCCTTTTTCAAAACTAAATTAAACCTTTACAATATAATAAGTTTTAACTCTCGCTTTTCGTATAGTGTTAAAACACATGAAATCTTAAATTAATCAATTAAAAGCACGTTAAAGCATTAATTAAAGAAAATTCACATTGATTGCAGGTAAAAAGGGCATGATCGATGTTTGAGCAGTCAGTTCTTCGAATTATTTCACTTATTTTAATAATTTATTTATTTATTCATTTTTTAACTATAAAAAAAGTATGAGAGCGGGAGGGCGAGGGAGAGAGAGGAAGAGAGAAGGGATAGAGTTAGAGAGAATTATATTATTTTTATAGTATATAAAAATCATCAATAAACAGACACCCTTTGGACATCATGATCTGTAATCAACCATATTGCACATTGAATGTTCAAAAAAACTACTACCTAGTCCATAAAAAACTACACACGTTTTCCAATCCAAGCTCTGATATTGTAATCCCCAGATATTTACAGACTGTTTGTGCCGGAGAGGGCTACGTGACGGAGGACCAAATTAAATGTACTTGCTGATCATTCTATTTCATCATACCATATTTCCCTTGCTTTAAATATACATTTATTCTAGTTTTCCATATAAATCGAATTTGTTTATTCTGTCGCAATTTACTATAATTTAAGAAACAATTTGGAGCCCTTGCAAATGATGTCAGCACACATTCCCTACTTATGATGCGGTTTATTGACTTTCATGAGAAGTATGTACTGTACGCCGATTTTGACATTTTCCATATGTGATCAGGTAACGCTGACAGTTTCTAAGATTTATTCACAGGTTTCCTATAGAGGTTACAGCTTGTTGAGTACGGGCTGCGCTGAGGTAGAGGGTCTTAAAGCTGGCCACAATTGGAACTGTCGTAATAGCTGAAAGTGCTACCAATAATGAAAAGCAATACAAAAGCTGCCAAGGATTATTTACAAGCGAGGAGCTTAAAGCGAAAACCAATTCAAAAAGAAACCAAACAAACAAACAAACAACAACCAAACAACGAACAACAAACGAACTGCCCCTCCCAGCCCACACTCTAGACCACCCCAAGTGGTGGTCGCTGTGGCAAGGGAAGGGCTGCGGCTGAGGAATGAGGAATGAGGGATGAGGGCTCCAAGTAATACGCGTGTATAAAAGAATCAAAAATCTAGATTTTGATTTGAGATACTATGGACTATAGAGACAGACTGGCAGCTTGTTAAGTTTGGCCAGCAGGGTGGGGTTGGGTGTTGGGGTCAGAATGGAGTGAGTGGCTGGCTGCCCTGTGGATCTGTATCAGTAGCTCCAGCTGTAACGGCAACGCGGGCCGTAAGTCAAGTGGCGCTTAGCGCTTTGTGTGCGCGTTTTGTCCGCGACTAAAACCGCGCACATTTTCCAAACGATGTCGACTTTTCGGTTCTTCTCTCTATACATATATAAATATATATATATATATATTTTTTTTTGTATTTCTTATGGATTCCACTTCAATGAATTGAAAAATTGCCTTGAACAAATTTGATGCGGCAGCGTTGCTGCTGCTGCTTTGCATTTTGCTGTCTCTTGTTGTTTTTTTTTATTTTTTTTTTTATGTTAACTCTGAGGGTTTCCTTAGGTTTTTGGGTAATTTGCGGAGTTGGGGAGCCACAGCAGCAACAGCAACAACAACAGCAGCTTTCCAAACATGACATTTGACATTTGATAATGTCATTTGCCGCGTAATTGTTTTTTGATTTGATGCTCCGTTTTGCCGTTGCCATTTGAATGCTATTGCTGTTGTTGTAGTTGTTGTCTTTTGTGCTGTTGCCTTTATCTGCCACTTGGTTTTTTTTTTTTAGTCAGAACGGAGTTGTTGGGGGGCCGCCCGCTCCCCACAGCCAGCTGCCTCGTCTTGAGCGCATGCAATGCAAATTGATTCGAGTAGAGTTACGACCAGTGACCCTTGTTACATATATTTTAAACGCTTTTCGATATATTCCATACTTTCTATTGCCTTGTTTTTTAGTTCCGCAAACCGGGATCTTTCCGTTGATTGGAAATTCATATGAAGGTAAAACAATTTTGGCCAAACTTGAACAAAAGATTGAATCGTAACTGTTAAAAATGATCGATTCCCAAACTATCGTGCATGTAGTAGATCATTATCGATACCTACAATTTTCTATCAAATCAACACTTTTGCTTCCAAAGTGAAATAGAACGGACGCGTAAAAGGAAATTATCAAGAGTTGCTTTAGATATCATCGACAACATATTATAAGCCACATGAATTTATCGATAGTTGCCTTGAATCTTATTGACAGCATATTTAGAGCTGCATTATTGGTTTTTCTTAGATTAGTTGTCCCTAGTCTGAAAAGTCCAACAAATAATATACATAAATAATTCAATCAAGTATACAATGCTCAATTTTGTTTATTGGAATACTTAAAATAGAAAATACATATATTATGTATATACATATATATATATATGTATTCACAACACCGAACCACTAATATACATTAATATTTATTTTTTTATTATTAATAGTTAACATACAGAATTTGGTTTGGCTCCAAGTGAATATAATAAAAACAATTTAAACATGGATTAAGTCAACATTTTTTAACGATGGTCTGCAAAAAAAAAAAAAAGAGAAAAACATATGAAAAGCTGTTTATGTAAGTTAATTAAAGCTCGAACTTTTACTTTTACCTTCACCTCGCATTAAAATATATTACTTCTATTCTTCTAACTAGCTAAATGACAATCTTAATGTACATTAATATATATCCTAATCACTTGGTCGTGACCAACTAGCCCTTTTTAGTATATGGCAGACTTACCAGGCGAAGAGGCAGCGTAATCCTCGCCACAGATATCCATTCGGGTTGACTGGATGTTGCCGTTCTCCTTGCCGTTTGATATACCCGACAGGTTGGGCAATGGATTGATGTTATCATAGGTAAAGTGGTTGTATACAGGCGATGGTGGCGGTGGTCCTGGCGGCAGTGGGGACGATACTAGTCCTGCAATTAACAAGACATTAGATTAAAACCAAGGAGGCAGCTGCTTCTACTGACCTGTCGAGCACATGGGCTGCCCGCAGCCCAGGCGATATCCACCGCAGGAACCGGCATTAAATTCATTTTCATTGACCGACTGGCGCGGCACAATAACCTTATTTCCATTAGCGTCTAGAACGTGTGCGAAAGCCAACTGATTTATAGATATGCCGGAGAAGCGATCTATATCGTATTTAAATTGCATGAGTATCATTAAATTACGAGCTTTTGTAATTAAAAACAACAATATATAGAAATATATGTGTATTATATGTCCCAGATTAATAGACGACAAGGTTTAACTTTTCTGTTCTTCGCTTGACGCTTACAATTCTCAACAAGTTAATGTAACGAAAGAGTAGCTAGTAATGTCTGCAGATGGTAGAACCAGAAGTTACTTAAAATACAAGCATTAAAAGACCCAAAATTGACTTTGAAGGAGTAGTATTATATATATGTATGTATACATTAACATTTAGAAGCTGAATTTATACATGATTCGCCCCAATCAGAGTGCTTAACCTGTAAGAGGTTCAATCCCATAACCTACTCATTAATTTAGGTGCTATTATAAAACGTATAGCATATGACTTGATGCTCTAATACAATGAAAACTTCACTAACAAACAATTTTGTATAGGTGACTCGTCCTTTAGCGGACATCTCAAATCATTATAAATCAGCCTATTCCCTCTTTGAGGCGGGCACTTCTCTTCAACGGACCCGACGGCCGCTGACAGCCCAAGCGAGTTTTCGCTGTATATCCATTGCGTAGCTCTGAACTCGTTCGTGCTCTCGTCTGGATTGAACTGTCAGTGGTTCAAACCCATTGTATTCATTCATATTCCTATTCAAATAATGAACCGCTTCAGAACTAGTTGGATGCTGGATGCTGTCACTTACCTGGCAAAGTCTGTATCGAATCCACGGGGTTCTGCTGTAGCAAAGAAGACATGGGTGAGCGTGACGAGAGCGGCGACGGGGGCGAAGATGAGTGCGAGGACTCGGGACGACGCCCGGACATGGCCAGCGAGAGGGCGCGCGCCTGAGCCGAAGTGCTAGGCATCAGACTGATAAAGCCGTTGCTATGCAAGCCAGTTGGCAACAGCGAGAAGGGCGCCATTTCCGGCGTACAGGGACGCGTTTCTAGCTGGGACTCAGGTGCGGCCAGGCAGTTTTCGTACCAGCCCGGCACAGTAAGCTTGGCCTGAGGATTGGGATCTTCGCTAATGGCGAGCGAGGCCAATGCCACGGCCAGAACCTCATTGTCAATATCCTCGGTGCCTGCCCCGAAACGGGAATCAATCGGCGATTGGACTCCTTGGGCCGTCTGCAGTTTATCGGAGGGCAGCACTTCCTCAGCAAGTAGCACCATTCCCTGTGAGGACTGACGCTTATGCTTGCGTATGGGCATGGTCTTAAAGCGATTATGCTCATCATCGCGAACGCGATCCGCCCGAAACTTCTCAATATGATCCATGCCGAACTCGCAGTCCAAGTCTATTTCCGTATCCAGTTGTGATGATGTCTTCTTCAGTTGCTCTGTAATTATATGTGTTGTCAATTCTCGTCCGACTCGAGCCTCTGTCTCGGAATAGATTATTTTTTTGTTACTGTGTAATCGTTTGGCTGCCTTCGTTCTGGGCGAGCGCTTGGCAGATATCTCCATGTGATTGAATTTCGGCTTCGGCAGGGCACCAGTTGGCACAGTGACAGGAGGCGACGGCTGATATGCGGCCTCCTTCTTGGGGGGTTCCAGTTCCACGATGACCACATTGCTGGCACGTGCGCCCGGCATGGCCAGGGGCAAGGGAAGCGCGCCGGTCTCGGCCAGACTCATGCAGCGCTGCAGCTGCAGCACGAGATTGTCGACAAGCGTAAAGATGACTAAAAATGAAGGACACGAAAAAGTTAGGATTTGTAATGCGGCTGGGCCTACGACTTAACTCGACCTACATAGAGCGCGTCGCTCGCGACTCTTGGCCATGCGCTTGGGATAGGGGAAGGGAGCATCGTAGCCCAGGCCGCTCCGCTTGGGCGGCGTGCACTTGGCACCCTTGCTGTCCTGCAGAAAAGGCATAGCCACCTGGTGATACCCACGTCGAGCCTGCCGCTGCATTTGTGTGCAGATGCAGCGTGGAGGTGGCAAGGGTGGCACCAGCTCCGGGCATTTGAACAACGTAGACGCCTGTTCATCCGCCTCGGCTATGGCCAGTAGCTCGGGCTCTACGGCCGATGCCGGCTCTGGCGCCATTTCGGTGTTGATTTCCTCCAGCTGCAGCGGCTGCGGTGCCGGCAACGGCAGCAACTCTGGCAATGGGGTGGCCAATCTGGCCGGTGGCTCACTTAACAGCAGACGCTGCATTTCTAGCTGACGCTCCAGACGTTCCTGCTGCTGCGCCACAATGTCCAGCAGCAGCTGCTGCTCCTCGAACAGCTCGTAGAGATCATGCTCCAATCGATAGATGAAGTACTGGTCAGAAATGTGCTCCTCGGGCGAGCTTGGGCGCTCCGAATGCGGCATCCCGATGGTCGATATTCAAATTGGAGTCGCAATTGGATTTGGATTCGGCGACCCAGGCCCAGCTACCCCTAGAATAACAACTGGGCACGCCCAAGTGATTGAGGTTACCTATTGGTTATTGGCTATTGGCTATTGGCTATCAGCAATCGATACGTTACCAGATCCCGAGCAGGCGCAGTAGCCGCACGCAGACCAAATACGTTTTTCAATCGGCCGCCCTCAAGGGGCTGCCAGCGAGGCAGCGAGGGATGCCAGACACGGGCCACAATCATAAAAACTTGCATCAGTAAAAACACGAAATAACAAAAAACCAACAATAAAAAAAATATATAAAAAAAAAAACACAAAACAAAAATACACTCGATAAAAGCAGGAACAAATGTAAAGCGTAGCATGAAATTGGCAGTCGTTTGGGTCTCGAGTGCAGCAGCATAGGATCCAGGCAGACGGGACTGGGTGGCAGTCAGCCACTTCCGGCAGCTGCCACCCCAAATGCACAACGCCAAACGTAAATTGCGCTCCATTTTTATATAGTTTTCGCCCGAGCGCAACCAGCCGGTGTCAATTTTGGGCAACAATCGCGCAGCGGGGGCAAAAGGG